GCTACAGTTACTCACACAGAAGCATAGACACATATATGACATTTCTGGGTAACATACATTTTAAAGCGTTGGTAAGTCCCATTGCTAAGCATACAATAATGTGAATCCGGTATAAATAATCCTGTTTATCTGGAGAAAGAATCATTTACCAGAAGGATAATTCTACTGAGAGGAATATGGAGTCTCTCATTGCCTAACTCTGTCTGAAATTGCTGGCTGCTTGGCTGCCAAAGACTTCAATATTTATATAAGTTATCCTGGAAGAAGTATGCAGTCAGGACAGCCACAACTCCTGATTAGAATACAGCAGGGATCTCAAGTCTCCCTGATGTTCAGGGAGTCTCCCTCTTTTGGACAGCAGCTCCCTGATGTCTGCGAGAGAGGCATTTTCTCCCTGAAAGCTTCACTCTGAGTAAACCTTTCCGGTAAGATATCAGTGGATAAGGTTTCAGAGTGAGGCTTGCCTCCTGGAGGAAGGTCATGTGATCTCTAGAGTAGCCTCAGAACGAGGCTTGGCTCTCAGAAGCTACTTGCTGCACAGAGAGGGCGGACATAGACTACTACTGAGAGCAGGTACAGGCACTGAGATCTACTGCTGCAGGGTTGAGAGAGTGCTGTTAACCCTTTGTGGATAATATAGAATTAATTATATGTCCTGGTTGTCTAGTTATAGAGAACATTTATTTCATTTGCAGCCGATAGCAACTAGTCAACTGTGTATCAGGGACTTTACTCCTCAGTGTTTTTTTAAAAAGGTCTTTAAAAATTGTATTTTACTTTGTGTGTATGTATGTGTGTGTGTGTGTGTAATATATATAATCATTAGTATTTCTTTTATATTCTGATGATGGCCGCTGTAAAAAAGAAACCCCAAAAAACAGAAAGGGCACCTCCCTGAAATGAGACGGGAACCTCCCTGAAATAAGGTTTTGCAGGTTGGGATGTCTGATGCTGCTGCTGTCAATCAGCAGAGGTGGACCTGAGGTGCTCCTCTGCTGATTGACAGCAGCAGTGGGTATGTACAAGAGCAAGCCTGCTATTGGTTATTGCAATTTGAAATCACCAATAGCAGCCTAGCTATTCATTCCACTGCTAGTTAGTTTTGTTTTTTATTGTGAAGGTGGCCGACGGCCGCTGTCAAAATAAAAAAAAAACAGAGAAGGTACCTCCCTGAAATGAGAACGTACCTCCCTGAAATGAGAAGGGCACCTCCCTGAAATAAGGTTTTGCAGGTTGGGATGTCTGATACACGGTCCTGCCACACAACACAGCCAGGAGGATGGCACCGCTTTCTCTGTTTAGGACTATAGAAGGAATACAATGGTGACCTCTCTCCACCTAGAGCCTGCTGTTGACACGCGTTTTTCAGGTGCTCCCAATAGCCCCCATTCAGAGTAGTGTAATGTGTAAACCTGCGCGAATCCCATGATTTTGTGTGTGTTCAGAAAATGTACAAAAAACAGGTGTTGAGCTTTTGGTGCCATTCATTGTTGATGGCACCCCAAATGTACCAACCATGACGCGTGCCTTTTGCATGCAAAGTCACATAAGAAACTTGCAGCTAGGAGACACGTGAGGTTTAAAAAAAGGTGCAAGCCCTGCCTAATGCACAACGCATAACAAACTTGCTTAAACATGACGTGGGATGGCGTGCTTTGTAAGAGGGAATGGGTGCTAAAAGTCTACGGGGCCAAAAATAGAAGATTCTGCCCCACAAGAAGCTCATGGACCTTTTCACATGACAGACAAGCTACACAACACTCACTGTGAACTGGACTTATGGACGATGTGCTTTCCTGAGCTAGTACTGCAAGTCATACAATTGGAGACCTCCGATCAGTGATAGAAGAGTCTCTGTAAATCTATAAAGATTGCCAATTGTGAGCATCCAAATAGAATTACAAATGGAGTTTCCCATGCCTGGTTCCTCTCTCCCCTCATCAATATGCTAATGATCCTTTAAAAGTAAACCTTTCCATTTTCATTACATACCTTATTTTAGATCCAGTGACATCAGCGATGGATCTCTGGGCTTCTGTATGTAATGCCGGAAGCAGGCAAGGGAAACTCCATTTTTAAATATGGCGCTGGGAGCTGGCAAGGTGCTGTACATAGCTTCCTAAACACACCACACAACACCCTGCCATGGAAACTCCTCTCAAGAGCCCTCAGCCCTGATACAAGCAGTGGGCTAGTTAATGAGAGAGGTTATGCAAATATAATGTCAGTCTGGAAGGGTGAGTGTTCCTAGGCAGGCTGTATTTGCATGTAGAACATGTTAGGTAATGCTCACATGTGATGCTGAACCTCCATGTTTGAAAGACCTGTATGAAAGGGACAGGCCAGGTACAGTCAGGTTGGAAAGAAAGAGCTAGATGATGCTGGCTGTCCTCCAGTCTAGAAATAAAAGGAACTCATCTGACTTGCTGCAACCTCTGATGCACACTATAAGAAACTCGCAGTGTGCAGAGTACATCATTTCAGGACAAGGGAGGAGCCTGTACAACTGTGCAAGACTGATTGTAAGACTAGAGGTCAGCTTTAAAATTGCGCGCGCCCACAAAATCCCAAAAAACTACCTTGCCTAAAACAGATTACATCCTTCTGGGACCAAATTTTCGAGATCTAACGACAGGTCACAGGCTCCGCCGTTACTCCCTCCCCCAAAGTCGCCCTTCTTTCCATCTTCCCAGGCCCCATTTCCCACTTCAAGAAAGACCTACTCCGCTTCTTTGTCTCTCCAGCTCGCTCCCTTATTCCCAGACACTGGAACTGTACCAGAGCCCCAACCGTGAAGGAATGGATTGGGGAGCTTTGTCGCATCATGCACTTGGAGATGCTGACGGCCCACTTGCAGGATAGACATGCAGCATTTTATATCACCCGGACGCCCTGGCTTGTGTATATGGATTCAGATCACTTCAAGTCACTTTGAACTTACCACCGGACAAATTGATGCATCCTCCACACTCTGGATTGCAAACGTAGATAACTGCAAACGTGAGATACCGCATGGTGTCTACTCTTTCTCTTCTTTTTCCTTGTCCTTTCTTCTTTTCCCCCCCTCTTCCCTTTTTTTTCTTCTCCCCTCCCCCTTCTCCCCCCTTTCCCCATCCTGACATGAGGTTCAACGGGACCTGAACGCCATTCTACCCAGTTCTACATCTGCAGCCGAGTCCCTGGGGGATTTTCCCACTCCTCACATGACCTGTTTGATACCTCGCTTTGCTCCAATCAGTAACATTGTATGCAACGGGTCCCGTCCACCCACCTATATCCCTGTTATTTGTATATGTTGTTTGTAACATTTAAAGTCAATAAAAATGTATTATTTAAAAAAAAGCTTTTACCGCTCATCAGTTTAGTGTTATCAGTAATTAATGGCCCTAGAATTATTTCCTCACTCCGACGTTTGCAGTGATATGTAACATGTGTAGCGTTATCATTTTTTGGCAGGAATGCGGGGGCAGGGGACTTTAAAAAAAAAAAATTAATATAAGACTTTCATTTTTTTTAAACTTTTTTTTTTTTACACTTAACTTTATTGCTATCACATAGGGGACTAACAAGTCCCCTATGTGATAGCCAATATAAAATGACAGGTCCTCTTTATGGAGACACCGAGGGTCTCTAAGACCTCTAATGTCACCTGGGGACCCCTAAAGAAGCTGATGAAGTAGAGATCTACTTCACCAGCTTCTCCTCTGGCTATAGCAGCCATGGCAGCGGGGGGGGG